ACCCCACCCCCCCCCCACACACACACAGAAGCTTACATTATTGTGGGAAATACGCCCAGCTACCTACACGCTGTCTCTTCTCCCTCCTTCCATGGGAAGCCCCACTTGTTCAGGGCAGCAATGGGCTCAGCTAAAAACTCACTTCTCCAAACTCCCCCTTGTCTATGGAGGCCAACTGCCCCAATTCTTTGCTTTCTTTTTCCCCAAAGCACAATCTTAGACATATGCTTTTTCCTAGTCCATCTCCCTACACGAAGCTCTTGTGAGCCCTTCATCGCCATATTCTGGAGCCCGGACCAGCATCCTGTCCACAGAGCTGATGCAGGGAGACACGGGTGGGATACAGGGTTGCATGGGCTCACACACCAAAAAAGACACAGCCTGGTTCCTGACAGCTTACTGGGCCTCAGTGCCAACCAATCATGGGACAAGGGTTATCTAATGAACCTTGGTTTGTTTATGCCTGTATTTGTCATGCTTTCCAAGGCTAAACTTGTTTCTACTAAATACAGTTATAAAGGTATCTCTGAGCAAAATGGCCTTGCTTTCTAGATATTCTTGAAACTAATGGGTGAATAGCAAGACATTTAACTAACATGCACCTTTCAGCCAGCTGACACAAACAGAAGATTGGTGTAATGAAGTAGACAGTCTCAACAGCCAACATAAATAGATACAAATAGAAGAGGTTCAAGTGAAAGCTCCCTTGGTCTTTATTATATTTTAGTGACAGCATATGGAGAGATTAGACAGGCTGTAAAAAAATAAGGACAAATGGGGCCTTTCTCGAACCAGGAAAGGACAAGTCTGTTCTATACCGCTTTAGCTCCCCATCTATCTATTTCTCTATCGTCTAGCATCTATCTATCATGCAGGTCAACCACATCTCCAGGCCAAATTAGTATCAGCTAGCAGCCCCACTAGGCTGGGTTTTGAGGGGCAGTAATGTCAGCTATTAGAATTCTTACTGCCCGTCTCCCCTACAAAATGCTCACCTCTTCTGGTCAGATATATATATGACTAATATGCAAAGTGTCCCCTTGGGAGTTCAACCTGGAGTTCAATCACTCGCTTTGGCATTCACTGACCACCAGGGGGAGGTGTGGAATGAAGGAAGGCCCCAGCCAGCAGCTGGTAGCTGGGAAGGGAGGCCCCCAGCTGGCTCTGATCACCGGCTAGACCTAGGGACCCAACTTGTGCATGAATTTTGTGTACCGGGCCTCTAGCATTACTATCATTTAAACCTGTATTACTATATTACTGTTAAATGCTAGATACCCCTGGAAGAGATTATGTGTTTTTTAGAAGTCAGACATTTGCCTCACAATTAATGCCTGAAAAACCTTCTGTAAACAGGTTTCAACTGGGGGAGAAGGAAGAAGCACGGTGTGCCCAGGCCCCTGAGACAACTGGGTGGGGTGAGGGAGATTGCAGTTCTGGAAGGCAGGAGTCACAAGGACCAGTGGCTCAACTCCCATATGGTCTAGCGCAATCTGCGTCTAAGGGCAGGGCTGCTGCAGGATCCATCCACTTTTGTTGACTGAGTCCTCTTGCCTTTCAAATGAAAAGCATAAGGCAATTTCTGCCCATAAACAACACAGCTGACTCAGAGGGATATTTTGGTTGGCACCAGACACAGCCCTCTGGTTTGCCAGGTCATCCTCCAGGGCTTGTGAAGCTACCAGCAAGCATTTAGATCTAAAGACTAACAGGATTTTGCATTTCAAAATATTTGCATTTTCAAGTACACAAACACAAACAAATCAACATAAACACTGTGTTAAACTTACTCCCACTGCAATCTGACCTAGAGTGCCCAGAGTGATACCTCAATCTTTCTAGATAATCCTTTATAGAAGATTTAATCCAAAATAATTATTATTTTAAGAATAGGTACCACCATTCTGCAAGCCATAGTTAAAATTGATACAGACAAGAATCATTATAGGAATCTCCTAGCCCCTGTGGCTCAGTAGACTCAGGTTTGCTTCCTGGTCAGAGAACATACCTCTAAGGTGGAGTATGGGAGGCAACTGATCAATCTCTCTCTCTCTCTCTCTCTCTCTCTCTCTCTCTCTCTCTCTCTCTCTCTCTTTCTCTCTCTCTCTCTCTATCTCGCTCCTTCTCCCTTCCTCTCTCTCTAGAATCAATTTAAAAAACAAAAGAAATTTAAAACGACTAGGTAAAAGTTTGATGAGGCACAAGATACAGACATGGTCTCAGGTGATCTCCCATAGAATATTTTTTAATGCAAAGGAAGAATTATAACTTCTCAGAAGAAACCAGACAGATATCATCCTCAATGAAATTTTTGCAATTAGTAACGCCAATAATGAGACAAACTGCTATGAAGCACTGAGGAAAAAACATCAAAACTGCATTTTCTGAATCTCAAAAAGAAACCCAGATTGAGGAATATTTCACAAAACAACCAGCCTACACTCCTTAAAAATATCAACATCATAATGGACCAAGAAAGCCAAGAAGTCCTTTTTGATTAAATGTGACAAGAAACATGACATGTAAATGCGATGACTGATTTTTGATAAGTGTTGTATTGAAGAAAAAAAAAAGTATTATAAGAAACAATGCTGGGACAATGGAGGATCCCTGAATATAAACTGTACTTCAGGAGAGTCAGTATTAAAATGCCTTTACCTGGTAATTATATTGTGGAAGAAAGAGACTGGCTGTGTCCTTAGGAGATAGAAGCTGGAGAATTTAAGGCAGTGGGCCATGATATCTGCAATTTACTCCCAAATAGTTGGGCAGTAATCACAATTAGTGATATTATACAGGAAAACGAGAGAGCAAGAGTGCGAAAATCGGTGAGTCTACGTAAAAGTTATATGCCATTCATTACACAATTGTAAATTTACTCTAAGTTTAACGTTTTTTCAACAGTTTTTTAAAGTAAAAAAAAGAAGTAAAAATTCCATGATTCTTAAAAACTACTAATAAGAAAGAGAAGAGCAAAAAGTATTTAAACTTTCCATTTATTTAGAAACTTAAGTGAACCCTTCGAAGTTTAAGTGAACCCTTTGAGAGAACACAAACAAAATGGCAGTTCTGCAGATGAAGAGGTCGGTCTGTCAACAGCGTTCCTGCATGTAGGCTTTCCATTTGTGTTGTTGTTGTTAACCTCAGAGGAGGCCATAGTCTCTCTGCCGGCCACAAGAGTCAGGCCACATCTCACTAAGTGAAGGATACAAACACGGAAAGAATGACTCCCCACAATTGAGGGGAAGAAGAAAGGCCAAGCCTAAGATTAGTACGAATTTGGTGAGTCACGGCCTCCCAGGAGGAAAGACAGACATTTCTTGTTTCCTGAAGGATTCGGAGATTCTGAGGGAACCCCGGAGTTCTCAGCGTGAATCACAAACTGGGGCAGGTGAACCTACAGCCCACTCCTCAACACTTCCGCTCACGCTCAGCTCAACACCACAGTACCTCCAGTGTCAAGGTCACTGTCAAGTCAAATCTCTCGACTAGTTGCTGGAATTTGTTCTCTTTGTTGCTGGCAGAATATTTGCCACTAAAACAAAGGAAATTCAAGATATTTACCAATTTGGCTCAGTGGATGGAGCATCAGCCTGCGGACTGAAAGATCTGGTCAAGGGCATGTGCCTTGGTTGCAGGCACATCCCAGTGGGGGATGTGCAGGAGGCAGCTGTGCAATGTTTCTAACACTCTCTTCCTCTCTGTAAAAAAATCAATAAAATATATTTTTAAAAATAATAATAATAATTGCTCATCCATCCATCCTCCAACCTTGAGTGGGCAGTGGCCTTGGTTTGCTTTTGTGCATCACCCCGCACGGGCCTCAGCCCTGAGCCAGATCTGCTGAGCCTCTGCAGCTGAGAGCTGAAGGCTTGGCACAGCAGCCTTCCCCCCGAGGAGCGGCCGGGCCAGCAGCACACACACGTGGACGGATTAGGCAGGGCTGTGCTGTAAAGCACACACACGCTCTCCCAACGTGTGCTTTTCATTCCAGAAATACTTTATTCCTAAACCACTTCTATGTCTCTCTTGGCATGAAACGGTCTCAGTGGCTCTGTGCCAAAGGAAGTGTCTGTTTAAACAAGTGGACTTTCTTAAACTTTCTTTACCTCGGGAGGTCATAAATAGAACATTCTAGCATAATTATAAAGGATAAAGTAGAAAAGGGAAAGGTCATAGAAAAAAGAAAGACATTTGTGTTGTTTTTATACGAGGCAAAAGAAACACGGAAAATACGAGCTGTAACACAGAATTACCCTCCAAGGGAGTTAAAAAGGACTGGGTCCAAGTCAGGACGAAGGGGAAGCAAAAACATTACCTTGAAGGTCCTCGAGCATTTGCCACCTTCTGTCACAAGCCTTAATCCCTATTCTAAGTCACCCACCAAATCAAATTACAGAGGAGGGTGTTTCAATCATGGTTTTATCCTGGAATGTAATTTTGTCCCTTGCTTCCTTATTTATGGCTTTCATCGTATACCCAAAACTAATGTAAAAGAAGAAAACCCATTTTGGTTGACTGAATTGTCCTTCCCCTTTCTCCGTGCTCACATCCAGGTGTTCATTTAAGGTTCCATCACAATACGCAGTGTGAAATCAATAACTCTCCGCAGAATCGTTAGGCATCATCACCAGATAAATTACAATTGAAATCAACGCTCTTATTATCTACCTATAGACAGGAATGGGCAAAAGTGCGTTTACAGTCATTATTTATTATTGTATTATTTATTTGTATTATTTGTCTTCTTATTGTTGTTAACATTTCATATCCTTACTTACGATTTATCTTCCAGGTAACGATCGCTGGTAATTTAACTACCAGCCCACAAAAGTGGACACTTATACAAAAACCTACTTTTGCCTACCCCTGTACATGTACTCATACACACAACATACAAGGAAACTGACATCAAGCTCCACAGAACATACACAACGCGATCCCCCTCCATATGGATCTGAAAGACCCTTTTCCTAGAATTTCTGACCCTGAAAACTTACTTTCTTTCCACTTCTGGCGTTGATGCAGCGCTACAGAAACCAAGCGACTCCTAGGAGAGAGAATTCACAGCATCAGTACAGGCAGAGCGGCAGGCTTCGTCAGAATATCACTTCAAAAACAAAAAGCAGAAGCAATGAGAGGTGACTAAAGCCACTGTGCTTACTTCAATCTGGGACCGCAGCTGAAGTGACGTGGGGCTGGCATCGGCTTTCTCCTAAAACAGAACAGATGCTGGTTTAATGCGACTTCCAAACGTGGCACACAGCAAGACCAGTCGGTCTGTAACCAGAGATGGGGGAATTTGGGAAGCGCTGGGCTGCAGTGGGAGGGGATGGCGGAGATAAACAGGTTTTCTGGGAAAACTAAAGTGTTTTGAAAATGAGAGTGCTAGCCTCTTAAAATAGAACTGTTTTTTCTGAACTCCACAGCCTGACAGGCAATTTTACATGCAGAAGCAAAAGGTACAATCTAACTGAAGAATACTGATAGATAATGATGACTTCTTTCTCTAGGTGTGATCAGCTGGTCACTGGGACACAGAATTGACAGCGACTTGTTTGTGTTCTGTTTCTTTTTCAATGGAGTTCCCATTTGAATATATAAAGTTCCCATCTGAATATATAATGAATATATGCAGGGCACTCCATAATGCAGGGCTAATTGTAAGTGTCTTTAGGAAAAATAGAAAGTTAGCTTGGTGTTATCTCGTATTCCTAAGAACCACCTGGCTCCTACAGTGCACATGAATTTCTCTGGATGAAAATGTAAAAACAAAAAAACCTCCAGCATTTAGTAAAAACTAAATGTTTTACTTTTTAAAATTTTTCAGTAAAGGCAGGAAGTGGCAAGTGCACTGAGGAGTCATTAAGTCACAAAGAGGAAGCAAACATTCTAGAGATAAAACCATGTAGTACAGCACTCTCACTTTACAGTTAAAAAAAAAAAAAAAAAAAAAAAAAAAATATATATATATATATATATATATATATATATATATATATATATATATATATATATCTCGGGCCGAAACCGGTTTGGCTCAGCGGTAGAGTGTCGGTCTGCAGACTGAAAGGTCCAGGGTTCGACGATTCTGGTCAAGGGCATGTACATTGGTTGCGGGCACATCCCCAGTAGGAGGCATGCAAGAGGCAGCTGGTCGATGTTTCTCTCTCATGGACGTTTCCAACTCTCTATCTCTCTCCCTTCCTCTCTGTAAAAAATTAATAAAATATATATTTTTTTTAAAAAAATATCAGTATCCCCTTGGAAAGAAAAAAGAAAACTAAACCAGTTACCTGTGATGAAAGTAATTAGTGAAATCAGCTTTGGCAGCAGGGCAGGACAGCTGCGCCATGACAGGTGTTAGAAGGTGCCACAGGGAAGTAAGAGTGAGTGGAGCACAGGCCACCACACTGACAGTCCCCAAGGAGAGGAAAATTCTAACTCGATAGGGGTGCTGATGGCGAGGCCCTCACGGGTGTGTGGTCCGCTGTCCAGGGCCAGTCCCCGCCCTGAGCAACAGGCCCTAAGCAGGACGATGGGCAGTTTTATAGGAGCTCTATCACTAACGTCATAGTATCAGACGATATTCCGCTGTGTTCATAACTGTCACATTCTTTAGGATTGCACATGTACTCTATGTAGACTGTTTTGTGAGTTTCAGCTAACCTTCTGGAAATAGGACCAGGCCAACTCAAGGCCTTGGAGGGGCGGGTGGGAGGTAGGCAGGAGTCAATGGAAAAAAAAGGAGGGGGTGAGGGGGGGGTGAGAATCTGTTATTCTTTCAACAATAAAGACCTATTTACTTTGTACTTTTTAAAAAATATATATTTTATTGATTTTTTTACAGAGAGGAAGAGAGAGGGATAGAGAGTTAGAAACATCGATGAGAGAGAATCATAGATCAACTGCCTCTTACACACCCCCTACTGGGGATGTGCCCACAACCAAGGTACATGCCCTTGACCCGAATCAAACCCGGGACCTTTCAGTCCACAGGCCGATGTTCTACCCACTGAGCCAAACCGGTTTCGGCAAGACCTATTTTTTTTTTAAAATTCTCACGTGCCATCTAATCGTTCAATTTACTATTCATGAAGCTGATTTCTTCATTAGCATGATTACCAGATTAGATCGATATTTTTAAAACTTAGCAATAAACTAATAAAACAAGTGTAATTCAGAGTAAATTCATAAAAGTAAACAGGTAACTGAAATCTAGTCCAGATTCAGACTGCAGTGAAGGCACTGGGGTGCCATGGCCTGACAACGGGATGATTTGGGACAAGACGACCCACAGAGCTAAGTGCTGTCCCGGACCCACTCCCCCCAGTCAGGGGCATCGCCTGTTAGGAAAGCAGGGAATGGCATGAAGCTGCACAGAACTCCTATTTGGTGAATGTCCTGGTTTTCACTGCCATCTCTGCTCATTCCAGGCAAACCTGATACATCATTTTTTACAGGACAATATACGGAAACGTGTGAGTTACATTCCAAGTCCAGTTGGTATGACGTCAGACTCAGGTGTTATCCACAAAAGGGGTGCATACTTCTGAGGTTCCCGGTGTGCCGTCCAATCCTGAGGCCCTGATAGCTAACCTCTTAACGTCCCGTGGAGAAATTTACCAACTTAAACAGCAGGAGGTAAGCAAAGGTATACAGTTTGCCATGTTTTCATTTAAAGTCGTCCTCTTCAGCAGATAGTATGGAAGACTCACAGTGATAATGAACTCCATTAGTTCCTCTGAAATTTTCTCTGAAATGCCCCTTTAATTATTACCCAACTCTAGTAGATGTTCTCCCAAAACCATTAAAAAGAATTTTTTAAAAATATATATTTTGATTTTCCACAGAGAAAGGGAGAAGGATAGAGAATTAGAAACGTCAATGAGAGAGATACATCGACCAGCTGCCTCCTGCACACCCCCCACTGGGGATGTGCCCGCAACCAAGGTACATGCCCTTGACTGGAATCGAACCTGGGACCTTTCAGTCCGCAGGCCAACGTTCTATCCACTGAGCCAAACCGGTTTCGGCGAAAAAGAATTTTTTTAATGCCCGATTCAACTCTCTCCCCTTCGTCAGTTCTTAACTTTTCTTCCCAAATTCTAAGTCTCTACCTAGTTAGGTAATAGTCCATGATAGGGTATTTTCTGCTAGCATTGTACATTTTTATCTGTGTTTTTACTTATGAGTGCATCTTTTGTCACTCAATATCGTAAGCATAACATTTTTGGTATGTTGTGCAAAATATACATGTTCCTGTATCAGAAGTGGCTACTTGGTAACAACCATATTAAATGTTCCACGATCAATTCATCTTCACTAGTTATTTTGTTACTTATAATAAATATTTGAGTGTGTTTTTGCTACTTTTTAGGAAGTTGGGGGGGAGGGGCGAGTGGTAGTTCAATATACAATGTGTTAAAACTCTTCCCTTTAAAATAATAGACTGAGTAAATGTTTCCATGCAGAACATCTGTTTTATCAGGAACAGGAGATGTTAAACAGGAGCTTTTGAACAATGATATTTCCGGTTGTGTTTTTCTTTTTTTCCCCCCAGAACATCCCACAAAATAATGGGTTTTGTTTTTCTTAGAGCAAATATCAATTTCATCTCTTAAGGAAAGACTACCATCGTTATTAAGAAGTATTTCTTAGAGCAAATACATCCTTAAGTAAAAAAAAATATTACACAAATAAGGAAAAGCTGTAAAACTGTCCACTAAGTAAGGACTTAAATGATGTTTGGAGAGAAAACAGAATGGACTACTAGAAAGTTCTATTACTATGGCACTGGTGGGTTCCACATTCAATCCATCACAAATGGGCAGGATAATTAATAATTGCTATCATGCATGTATGTGTGAACTGTATGAAATATTTAAGACATAAATATACATAATATTAAATAAAAATATAGCCAACCTTTGTGGGCCCACAGAGCCTGAGACATGGAACATTACAGAGTGAAAGCTAGCAGGTGTTCTGATATGCTGCGCCAGGACAAAATACCTGTGTGCAGCGTATGAAATATGTGTTAATGGACTTGTCATATAGGTACGCAGTAGAAGTGCTGGGTGACATTTTTTCTGTTTATCACAGAAAAAAAACAAAACTTTTTTTTTTTTTTCATGGTGCAATGTGGAGTAGAAATCCCTGATGGAATCAGACAGTGAGAGCACCAGCTAGTGCCAGCAATAAAGGGTGCTGCCTACAAAACAAAGAAGCAGGAATTCAGGTCAGATGGACGGAAACGCTCAAGACAGTCCCTGCCATGCCCAGTCTATAAATCAGGCTGCCAGTTCTGGGCTTCCAATTCCACTGCTTCTGGCTTAGCGGGGAGGGCCGGAAGCCATGGTTCCTGAGTTCCAGCAGAAGGAAGCTCTGATGAAAGGGAAGGCAGAGTAATAAGAATTAAAGGGCCAGAGCCTAGCCCCAAACTACTTTATTTGAGGAAATATTGAGGGTTCGTAGTATAGCTTCTGATTTAGAAGTCCTCATGTTGATGGCAACAGCATCTATCTGTCTTTGAAAGGGGCACGTTGTAATTTAGAGGATTTCGGAGGAACAAGATTCTGCTCTCCATCTCAACACACTCTGATAGTTCTCTCCCTCAATAACCTACACAGCAGCGACTACCACTGTGTAACAAATCACCCCAAACTTAGCTGCAAAAACAACAGACGTTTCATCATGCTCACCTATTCTGTGGTCAGAAAGGGGACAAAAGGAATGGTTTGTGTGTGCTCCATGATGCCTGGGCCTCCGCTGGGTGATGGTTGGGGTCATACTCCTGGGGGAACTGGTGCTGGCTGGCAGCTGGGACCTCAGCAGGGGCTATCCACTGGAACTCCACACAGGGCTGCTCCAGGGAGCTGCTTGGATTTCCCTCACAGTAGGGGGTTGGGTTTGAAGAGCAAGCATACCCAGAGAGCCCAGCAGGAGCTGCATTACCCTTTCTAACACAGCCTCGGACAAGAGACCATACTGCTGGAGTCACAAACTCTCCTAGAGGCAAGAGGCCACACAGCCCCACCTCTCATCAGGAGGAGAGTAGAAGTCCCAGGGTAGGAAGAGCCCTGTGTGGGGCTTTCTTCATGGCCTGATTTAGAAATCAGCCTGCCATCCTGAGCGCCAAGGAGATGGGGCCTCAGCTACGTTCTCAAAATGAGGAATGAGATGAGACAATTTGATCCATGTTCAATATGCAAA